GGCACCAATCGGTCACCAATCAGGTACCTGATTGGTGACCGATTGGTGACTGATTGATGCCTGATTTTTCACTTTTCGACCTGTGATACCTGAACAATTGCATGAAGAAATGAATATGCTTTGGGCATTTGTTGAATTGAATTGGTGAGCTATATACATGTTAACATGTAACTAATGCATGTAGTGATTTTGAATAAATGATTTTATTTCACTTTTTTTTTATTTTAGGGAAATTGATCTCAAAAAGTTTGCAATACACCAAGGTTATCAAACTGAAAATCAACTTTCTTATTTTAAAAAGTGTAATGATCATCATAAAGCATGGGATTCAATTTGTAATATATATCGTGAAGCAATGTCTTTGGAGCTTATATGGCCATATGTAGAAAGCCAACCCAATCCAACAGTTGATGGATATAATCTTGGGTTAAAGAGCAACAGGATCTAATTTATTAAATAAAATATGAACAGGTAAAAAAATATTTCATTGTAATTTAATTTTATTGTACAAAAAAATTTTATTTTCAATGAATTAATTACTCTTTAATTTTTAAATATATATCATAGATATTTTATTATTTACAAGCAATTATAAATTATCGAACAGCCATCTGCACAAATTGTCCCTTGTTAAAAAATGCAGCACGAAGAGCATTTGCTTCAATTTGGTCTGCACGTCATCATCCTATTTATCGTTTGATAGAAATTGCAGATGAAGAACAATTGATGCGACTCCATCCAACTATATATACGTGATCTTGTGGAAAAAAATAGTGTAATATCACGATCAGGTTTAATTAGCCAACATCAGGGATTAGATGCAATTTTAGAAGAGGTAAACAAAGCCTTAAAAACACTTATACCACCTGTTTCACAGCAGCGTCACTGGGAAATTGCTGCACGAAACTGCAAAAAGTTTCTCCAGGTATATCTATATATGCTATAAATAAAATGCTAAAAATCTGTCAATAAAATAAAAAACTACTTTTGATACCTATATTTGTATTTTATGATTTATGCATTATTTATATTTTATATAATAAATGGTTGATTTTTTTTTAATTTTTCAACTACAAAAGTTACGTAACAATTTCTTTAAAGTAATTGGATATAATGATGTTAGTGGGATACCACATGCAATATAAATTATATTGCATGTGGTATCCCACTTATCCTAGATTATAGTATCACATGTAATCTAAATACCACATATAATCTAAATACCGCATATGATCTAATTAACACATATAATCTGAATACCTCATATGATCTAAATATCACATATAATCTGAATACCACATATGATCTAAATAATGTAATCTAATTACCACATATGATCTAAATGATGTGGTCTAAATACTACATATAATCTAACATTTTATTATTTCTTATATCGCTTTTACATTCTAGCTATATCTTTAAGCCTTTCTTGATATTAGTATTTTTGTGCTAATATACTTTTTATTACCACAATATAATCTAATTACCACACACATATAATCTAAATACCACGCTATTCTTCTTGTTTCTAAGTCATTTATTTGTTAAATTATACAATGGAGTTCTTGACCTTCTGTAGTTATTTGGATACCTGGTTTATATCGAGTACTGTGCCTCCTGCACCTGATTGGGTGCTGGATTATATATTGGAGTACTTACCTTTGCGCCTATTTGGTTGCCTTTCTAGATGTTGAAAAAAAGTGACGGGTGGCGCAGTAAATTTGCATTTAATTTCGGCTGACACTATGCTATAATTCCGGCTGATCTTTTGGGCATGTGATTTGAGGATCCAGCCTGGCGCCATGGAACTATCGTGGAACTGGCAGGGAACTGTCATGGAACTGGTGAAGAACTGGCAGGAAGCTAGAGTGGTTCTATTAATTCACCAGTTTCAGATCACTTATATTGCCAGCTTGGATGCCAAGTTCTTATGCCCAAAGATCTGGTCAAAATTGTGAAATAGTGTTGGCCGAAATTAAGCGAATCTATACTGCGCCTTACTGCGCCATAGTCACGTGATACTGTTCCGGTGACAGAACACCCTCACATAGTTACGGGCTAGTGACGGGGATGTTCTGGGAAAGTTTCTGGAACCCAATATATATGCATCTGTGCCACATATTTTTTGTATCCATATATTTCCGAAATCTTCCTAACACTCTCGAGCTCCAGTCTGGTGGACAGTTGGTTAGTAGAGAATTGGAGGTACAATATGTATTATCTTGGCCTGACCCATTTGATTACCAAAAAGTGCGCCATCATGCAACCTAATTATTGTCAGTACATGTATGCCTATTTCATGTCCAAAGTTGAAGATGCGATATGTATTATTGTGGCTGGCCCATCTATACCATACCCGAATACATATCTAGAAAGATGAAGGCTTCTGCCAATATTTATATAATAGATTACGCAGTTACCTTCACTTTTAGATGTATATCCACTTGCCTTTCTTTTTCGATTCTTTATCTAAGTTTGCTATCGCTTCTTTTTTTCGCGTATTTGTCTATCCTAGATGTCATATATGTCCGAGCACATACTAGTGTTAGGGTAGCCTTCTGCCAATATTTTATATAATGATTACGCAGAAGGCTACCCTATAAAGAATGTATTTATTTGTGTCTCCGAAGTGTCCAAGAGGGGCCAGCCAACTTCGTATCTCTTTTTGGTATACCTCTATATTACGTGGAGGCTATACCATATCTGAGTACATATCTAGGAAGATGGGGGCTTCTTCCAATATTTTATATAATAATTCCGAAGTTATCCCATCTAAAAGTATATACCCGTTTCCCTTTTATTTACGATTTGCTTACTGGGTTGCTATACGCCTCTTTTTACATCCTATTAACAATGCTAAGGTGAAGGCTTCTGCCAATTTTTATATAATAGATTACGCAGAAGCCTTCACTTTTAGATATATATCCGGTTGCCTTTCTTTTTCGATTCATTTAATAAGTTCACTATCATTTCTTTTTGCATCCACCGAAAAAAATAAATTAAACATTTCCGAATTTTATAAAGTAATATAAACATTTTCGAACTAACACCATGCATACACCAACTAGTTTCGACCAAACCGATCGCTCCGGAACCGCCCCAGCCCTCCGCTACGATGACACTGGCCCCTTAGCCGGTGTTCTATCACGTAATGAGATTGTAGCAGAATATGATAATGGGATGACTGCTATACTCCAACAAAGCCTATCCGACAAGCAACCCATACATTTCATGCCTACTGAAGTTAGTGATGATACCTCCGAATATGTAAATGGTGTCTCCTCCTATATTTTGCGTATTACTGGTACTTTGATTAATGGACAAAAAGCAGTCGTAAAAATTACAGGCATTAAGCT